TCTGCCATGGGGTATGTGCGGGTGTCACCATGTGTACCCACAATATCAAACACTTGTCTTAAATCACATTTTTCTGGCTGGAGCAGAACACTTTTCAAAGTAACCTCACTCCTTGAATCTATCAATGTTTGTGCACTCTTCTCTACCACCATCACCACTTTTAGCTGTGCTGTAACACCACCACCAGTCACCATACACATCTTTAAGCAAGGCAATACTATCCTATGCAGAGCCCTTATTCCTATGTCACATTGTATTGGCTCTTCAGTCTCAGGACAGTTATATGCAATATGTCCTTGCATGTGGTAGTTGAAGCATCTGAGGTTTTTCTCAGTCTGGTCTCGTAGCCATAATGGGACTTTTGGGTACGTTCTGCCAGCATAGTTATATTGTCCCAGGCTCAGTATCAGGTTTGATAGTCTCTCAATGTCCGAGTTACTTTCAAATGCAAACTTTACAAAGGCTTTGGGTGTAATTAACTTTTCTATATCACTTATACGTCCAATTCCTTCATGAGCTAAATTTTCTGGGTGCTCAAACTCTTCAAGACCTGGTTCTGTCACCAGCTCATCCATCATCAGTTCTGCGAATTCCTGGGAGCCTTCATTGCTCCCTACGGCTAATGCTACAGGTCTCATCTCTATATCCTCAGGGGGTTGGCCAAGGAGGCTGTCTAGAGCACTCTCCTCCTGCATGAATGCAGCCCTTGATCCCAGCTCCATCCTATCATGCTCGGCCTGGCTTGGCATGGAGCGCTGTTCTACCTGAGGCCCAGACTCCTGGCTTAGTTCATCTCTCCTTTGCCTGGTTTCCTCCCCAGGGGTATCCTCCACTTGCTCGGCCTTGAGTGGCCACCTCTCAGTGTCAGAAATGCTTTCCTCTGGGCTGTCTGGCAGTCTCCCTGTTCCCTTGGGGGAGTCCAGAGACACAGTCATGGCCTCTCGCTGGATCATGACAGCCCCGGTATCAAACAGCCGGTCAGGCAGTCCGAGTCCCGCCTTTAATTCCACGACTGTGTTCCCAGAGTCTGGCAGCTGTTCCAGGTAGTTAGTGCGCCCAGGCCTTGTAGCAGTAGTCTTTGCCAGCAGATCCAGTTCTATGGCTCCCAAACAATCCTTCAAAGTCTTTGTAGCAATACCAGACGTGTTTGAAATATTTAATTCAGCTGCGCCAATGTCACCTGCTTTGTAACTTTCGCCTTGGTCGGGCTTAGGTGCGGACGTGCCCATCTTATCACCACAGCTTGGTTCTGTAACTGTCGCTCTCTCTTGGCTTAGATCAGAAGCAGCTACTTTGCCTTTCTTTTCTCTGCCAAACTGTTCAACAGCTGGTCGACAATCTTGGGTAGCCTCGGCTACTAAACAGTGCACCGCATTGCTATACTCAGCTGGGGTGCTTTGCTTCTCTCTATTAAGCTCAGCTCTTTTGCAGTTGTCTTCTCTGACTCCCCAAGTCAGTCTGCTTTTCATGCCTTTAACTTGTTCACTTGGGTGTACATCAGGGGCTCCTGCTTCGTTTTCTTTTATATGTGATCCCCCTGGAATTGCATCTATTCCCTTCTCTTCACCAGTCCTTCTGGGCGCTTCACTTAGAAAATCTAGAACTCTTGTTTCCACTATAAAATTTGGGTTCCACAATAACTGGTCATCATTTTCATACACTCTTTCAGTTTCCTTGTACTTGCAGATGCCAACTGGAATCTCTGCCTGGAACATGGAACCAACCATTATTTTCTTTTGCCAGTCTTCTGAAGGAACATAATCCTCATCATCCTCTGATTCTTCTTCTATTTCATTATTTGCATCAAAATACTTGCACCTCCGTGGCCTGATTGCCTCTTGTACATCCCGACATGTAGCAGATGGCACTGTGTCATCGTTACATGATTGAGTCTCATCTTTGTTTTCCACACTGCAGGCACTGTTCCGGTCATTCTCCTCTTCTTCTTTCATTACCTTGGGAAGATTTATCAGTACCTTTCTGTTTTCAAATGTCTTTCCAGCATTCTCTTGAAACGTGCAAGATGCAGTTTCTGAGCGTGAAAATATTTTTGTTTCCAACTCTTTTCCCAGGATCGCTTTATCTGTTGTGATGCCACTTAGAGCAAGTTTGAGGCTTTCACGTGAAGCTGCAACATTTTGGTTCTCAAATAAACACTTGTCAACTTTAGTAATCAGTATGCCTCGTGCTCCTTTCTTACTTTGGTGCATGTCATCAGTGTCACCTTCTTCCACATTAGCACTACTTTCAGGCTCAATTGTATCTTTCTTGCCTTCTATTTCTTGTTCTCTCTCTTCTGTGTGTTTCTCAACATCAAGCTTTGCTGCCTCCATGCTTTTCAGCTTGCTAAAGACTTCTTCTACTGCCTCTGTCATCTTATGCAGGATGTCAGTAGCTTGGTTACGGGGTCCCTTGTCCCCACACACCCTGCTGGAGGCAATCTGCAAAACATCAGTAAGGGCAACTCTATACTCCTGCTGAGCGTCCCTCAGGTTCTTAATCTGTGCAGCCAGGAAATGGTTGGTGTTTTGTTGTATAGCAGTTGCCTCTTGTTGTACAGCAGTTGCCTGTACCAGAGCCTTCAGCAGGTCCTCCATTATAGCACCAAGCAGGTAATAGTCTTAAAGGTACAGTGCTACTATTTTTTTTTTTTTAAACAGGTCTGCAAAAATAAAAAGTCCTCAAGCAGACTACTGAATGACTGGCACACCCACAGATCCTCAATGTGCTACTATGCCCGCATTCTCCACCATATTGTGATCCTTGTCAGCAGGTAGCACGGTCCTCTAGGGCAAAAACATGCACAGTCCTTGTAATTCATATACTCCAGGCACTTTATTTGCAAATCCACACAGGATACAGCAGTAAATGAAAAAAACATAAATATAACAGGTTTCCCTTTAAACAAAAACCTAGCTCGTCTGAGCACTGACTCACTTTAGGTTCCCTATCTCTCAGGGTTAAACTAAACAAAACAATATTGTACCAACCTTATTAGAAAGCAACACTCTGCTAACTAGCCTGTAGCTTTCCTTTCTGCACTCCCAGTGCTCCAAGCCAGCCTTTCCCTGACTGCTTTCCTTTCTGCACTCCCAGTGCTCCAAGCCAGCCTTGCCCTGACTGCTTTCCTTTCCGCACTCCCAGTGCCTAGTCTCTTTGACTCTATCTGGAGAGATCAGCCTCTCTCCTACCTGCTTCCTGGGAGGAAGCCAGCAATCCCTCTCCACCTGTCTAGCAGGGAGGAGTTTATTCCCACTGCAACAGCTCATTAACTGCAGCTGTGCAGTGGGTTGGAGACAGTCCAAAAAACCCTGGCCTGGATCTATGTCTCCCCAGAAAACCACTAAACTGTGGAGTGGAGCATTGGCCCACCCTTCTCTCCAAGTGCTCCACCCCAGGGGCCCATAACTAAACAATGCGTTGTGTTGTGCAAAACACAAACTACACATACTCCCCCTGGGGTTAAAAGGCCTATCTGCCTTCACTTTATCACAGTGCATTACTTGCTATCCCTCCTCCCTTCTTACCTTTTGTAGGGAGGGGGGGGATCGTGCTGCTGATTCCATCCCTGGTGGTCCAGTGGAGAGTAAACTCTAGCCCCTGTGGGGCTAGAGTTCACTCTCGCGAGATTTGAGCGTTGCCATGGCAACGCTCCTATCTCGCGACAGGAACCCGGCGGAGCTTCCGGCAATAGTTCCGCCGTTCCTCCCCTGTCTCCCTCCCTGCATGTGGGTCAGTGGGGAGGGAGGCTGAGAGCAGAGCCGGCGCTCAGATAGCGCCGGCTCTGCATGAGCCGACAGGGGAGATCCTGAGATATCCCCTGCCGGTCTCAATATACATAGGCGTGCCGCGGGGATTAGGGTGTGCCCAGGCACACCCAGCACACCCCGTGCGCACGCCTATGATGATAGACCATAAATGAATGCATTCACAAACTCTATAGCTATGTACAGAACATTTTTTAACGTGTTTTGTCTCAATGATTATTATTTTAGCATTATTCATACTAAGGCCATCCCTTTGGTTTACTCAGTAACACAGCAAAGACATTAGCCATGCATGTCCCATATGACAGTGATAATTTAATCTTGGCACATATGGACTCCATTTTGCTTGATACTCTACATGACAAAAAGAAAACATGCAATGTGCAGCTCAGTAAATCAGGCCCATTAATGAAACCTAAATATAGGTTTCACCAGTGGCCCTGATTAACTAAGCTGTGCATTACACTTTTTCTTAGCTAGCTGTTTAGCCATAAGACTGCTGTGATGAACCAATGTCTGCCACCAGAAGCCCAATTATCTGCGTTCTTGCATAAGACATAAGGGAGTAATTATTCTCTACCGCTCTGTCTGTAAACCCTTTGTGACGAAGTGCCCTTCGCCACTTGGTCCTGGAGAGGCCTTCTTGCCAGTCTCCTCCCCTGTGACTATGACTCTTTCATCTATCTGGCTTTAAAGCCCCTAGTCTACCTTCAGACAGACTATTTATGTGGGCTGCTTTATTTATCTTATGTTTTAGTCACCCTGTACCCATTATAGGTGCAGGGTGTGTGTAATGTAATTGTTTATAGTGTGTGTGTGTGTACTGTGTAATGTATTGCCTGCTCTCTTGTATTGCTGGGGTTTGCTACCAGCTAGGTGGGTTTGGCTATGGAGCTGGTCTAGTGCCCTCTGTTGGTAGCAACAGCAATATGCACTACCTGAATTGCAAGACTGGTTAATTTGCATATTCGGGTAGATTTGCATATTGCTAATTCTGCAGGCAGGTGAGATATTTACTGTTAAATATTGTCTCCCCCCACCCCTTTAAAAAATGTGCCATTGTGTTGTGATAAGTCACTGTGTGTTTCTTGATATGGTTTGACTGTTTGTGATTTTATTGAGGTTTCACAACAATGTTATTGTGGTGACCCTATTGGCTGGTCCCAAGGGAAATAAAGGTTTTGACAGATCTTCTTGACCCTCAATATGTAGCCTTGTCTCGTTATTGGAGGGAACTGCTATATCACACTGGGGATTGCTATGCTCTGCATATTCCCCTGAGCTTTTAATCACTTAGCTCTTTTAAGAGCTGTTCCTGTTATGCTCTCCTGGAGGAGAGGTCTTCCCCACATGGTCCTGGAGGACAGAAGCTGATCCAGGGTGGAAGGAAGACGGCGAGACTCCAGTTAAGCTACGGCGGTTGTGGAGTCTGCGGTGGTTGTGGTGTCTGCTGCAGTGTTTGGAGTCCTCGGGAAGCGCTAGGAGCATCCATCAACGGAGGGTACTCGGTCGGAGTACAGGGAGCTCCGTTACACCCTTCTTTTCTGTTGGGACACATTGTTCTACACAAGCTGAAATGTTATAAAATCTACTCTTGAAGCAGCTCTCTTGTCTTCTAGGGTTATTTCATATTTTGCAAAGACCCCTGATAGTGACATTGCCAGTTGGGCTGCGGGGGCAATAGAGTTCAGTTATACTTACCAGTGGGCACTGCCATCTTCGATCTTTATCGTCAGTGCTGTATTCTCATACATGGATGAGAGGAAAACACTGATTTCTATGCAGGGTCCAAACAAGACAGCTGGAATCTACATAGATATTATCCCAAGACAAGGCCTTATTCCCACATCTGTTGCTAGCAACAGCTGGGAGAGGTGACGAGCCTAGAAAATCAAAGGTGCACTTCATACATCGGATGATGATTAAGAGGCCCCCTTGACCCAGGGGCGGATCCAGAACCAAATCTCGGGAGGGGCACTTAAGTGTGCTAGAGCGGGGTGAAACAGGCTGCAGCGGAGGAATAGGGGACTCTTGTTTAGGGGATAGAGGCTGTACACATATGCGGCCACACACAGTGATATGGAAACACAATAACAGATACAGACACATAACTGACACAGACACGTACACTGGCACACCCTCAGATACAAACCTATACCTACACAGGCACACACACACTGGCATACAAACACACTGGCACATAGATACACACATACCTACACATGCACACTGGCGAAACCGCACACACACATCCCTACACATACACAGAATGACACACATACCTTCACATACACAGATACAAGGTAATAGAATATACAGGCATAACTCCAGGTACTGAAGGTGTATTTATTGGAGGGTAGAACAACGTTTCAGCCCTTGGGGGCCTTAATCATGTTTAAGTCCCTCTAGGGCTGAAAAGTTGCACTTTTATGTGGTGTTCTACCCTCCAATAAATACACCTTCGGTACCTGGTGTGTTGCCTGTATATTCTATTACCTTGTATTGTTGGACGGATTAGCAGTGTCTATCTAATCCAGAGCACCTTTGAGGCTGTGGGCCAGAATGAAAAGCAGAACCTGAGTGCAGTGGACGACGTTGTCTGTGGTACACACACAGATACATACTCACAGATACACATTAACACTCACAGATTCACACACTGACATTCCGATACACACAGATGTCCACATCCCTAAACATACGCACTGGCACACACAGATGTCCACATCCCTAAACATACACACTGACACACACAGATGTCCACATCCCTAAACATACACACTGACACACACAGATGTCCACATCCCTAAACATACACACTGACACACACAGATGTCCACGTCCCTAAACATACACACTGACACACACAGATGTCCACGTCCCTAAACATACACACTGACACACACAGATGTCCACGTCCCTAAACATACACACTGACACACACAGATGTCCACATCCCTAAACATACACACTGACACACACAGATGTCCACATACCTAAACATACACACTGACACACACAGATGTCCACATACCTAAACATACACACTGACACACACAGATGTCCACATGTGTCCACATACAAACATACACACATGTCCACATACAAACATACACACTGACACACACCAGACACACACAGATGTCCACATATCTAAACATACACAAATTGCAGCTTCCATAATGTTAAGCACCCTCCCCTCTCCCCTCTGCTTAAATACCTTTTTCTTTGCAGGAAGGTGACTTCCTGAGGCTGGCTGAGCCTGATGGGAGTCTGAAGCTGCAGAGCTCTCTCTCCTCCCTCCTCCTTCTCTTCCAGCTGCCTGCTGCCTGCTGCCTGTGTCTTCTCTCCCAGCTGCATCCTGGGTGTTCTCAGCCCGCGCGGTCTGTATGCTGGGAGGAAGTAACAGTCACTTCCTCCCAGCACTCCCTGCAACTTTAAAGGGGCCCGGTCTGCCAAAGGGCTGCAGCACCCGACCGAGCCCCTAATGAGGTCGCTCAACTGATGGCAGCTGAACTATTTCCCCGTTGCCCCCCCCCTGGATCCGCCACTGCCTTGACCTAATTTATAAAAGGGCCTATTTCAAGAATGATCAGCACTTTTATGAACAGGTTAAAGGACCCCTATAGTGCCAGGAAAACTTGTTTTCCTGGCTCTAAACGGTCTCTAGGTCTCCCCCCCCCCACCCTTAGGGTCCCCCTCCCGCGGGGCTCTAGGGGTTGGGGGGGCGGGGAAGGGGTTAAACACATAAATGTTCTCCACTGCCGGGCTCAACGGTGGGGACTCTATGCCTCCTTTCCCCGTCATCGGCTGAATGCGCATGCGCGGCACAAGACGCGCGCGCATTTAGCCAGTCTCATAGGAAAGCATTCTTAATGCTTTCCTATGGACGCTGGTGTCTTTTCACTGTGAAAAATCATAGTGAGAAGCGCGGAAGCGCCTCTAGCGGCTGTCAATGAGACAGCCACTAGAGGCTGGATAAACCCATAGGTAAACATAGCAGTTTCTCTGGAACTTCTATGTTTACAATAGAAAGGGTTAAACCTAGATGGACCTGGCATCCAGACCACTTCATTAAGCTGAAGTGGTCTGGGTGCCTATAGTGGTCCTTTAAGGAAAACTCACTTGCTGTACAGCTTACATCCAAGATTGGTTCCAGCCTCACAATACGTAAAGGATCATTCAAGCAGAGCCGAGAGCTTCCAGAAAGGAATAGTGAATAATCTCATGCTTTACTATGAGAAGCATT